TCATCCTTCTCCTCCTCCCCCTCCTCTCTCCTACGCCATCCTTCACCTCCCCCCCTTCTCTACTACCCTTTTTCTCATTCATCTCTCCTTCTCCTTTCCTCTCCCACTTGTTTCTCTCTCGCGTATATTTTGTCCCTTAGTCTTCCCCGGGGCATGCGAACAAGGCGCTAGTGAAACCCGTCGCCGGGAGACGACGACGTCGCGCCACGTGGCAGCACGTCGCACGAGCACTGGACTCCCGGAGTGAGAGCTGCACGACGTCGCGCCACGTGGCAGCACGTCGCACGAGCACTGGACCCCGCGAGTGAGAGCTGCGCGCCGGCTGCTGTGCGCGTCTCTGCTTGCGTGTCTGATTTGTGCTTCGAGAAAAAGAGGATCGCGATCCCGACGCCGATTACTGACACGATAAGCTTCATTCACAGTCATCAGGGCGTATGCACTTTACCACATTTGCAGCCCAATTCAGAAGGGAGGAAAAGGGGAGGGGGAGGGGGGGGAAGGAAGGCGGAACTGTGTGAGTGCGCACCCTCAACCAACAGAACGCCCGGTCATCATCGCTGTATTTTGGGCAATTTTGCATTCTAGTTACAGCGATAATGACTGGGCAGGCAATTTTCAAGTCTAGATACGGCGATAATCACTGGGCAGATCATCGGTGTATTTTGGGCAATTTTCAGTCTAGATATATTCGATTCAATATTAACACTAAGCTCCTTATTCGTTAAATTATCACACTTGATCAAGTCAATGACACATTCCACCCGGCGCTACATTCAGAGTGGGCTACGGCTTTAATATATATATATATATATATAGTCATCATTATGTTGACCGGCCCCAGGTAATTCAGATTACATATATCGTCACACCGTGTATCGGATTGAGATTATATATATCATCACAAAGTTATCAAACGTTAAATTATCACACTTGATCAAGTCAATGACACATTCCACCCGGCGCTACATTCAGAGTGGGCTACGGCTTTAATATATATATATATAGTCATCATTATGTTGACCGGCCCCAGGTACTTCAGATTACATATATCGTCACACCGTGTATCGGATTGAGATTATATATATCGTCACAAAGTTATCAAAGCGCAAAAGCGAGGGAAAAAAAAAAAAAGGAAACAAAATGGATATCGATTCATTTTTTATCTTCTTACTTACAGCTCCCCCTGTTCAGAGCCTCTTGCATACAAGGCCGCCCAGGTGGATGTGGTTGAGCGGCGGCTGCCCCCACCCCTGTGTGTCATATCGACCCACTTGCACACAGCCAAACGGCAAAGAGGCCAAGAAAGAGGAAGGGAACAGCCAAATATATATTGTCACATTGTGAATCAGAGCGCAGAAGCGAAAAAAAAAAAAAAAAAAAAAAAGGGGGAAAGAAGAAAGGAAAAGGAAAAAAGGGGAAGGGGAAGAGGTAAGGAAAGCTCCACCTGTTCATAACCTCTTACGTACAAGGCCAGCCACGTGGATGACAGGT